TGTGGTGCAAGTAGCAGGGAGAAGAGACGGCAGTTTGAACTGCAATATAAGCTGCTGGTCCCCAGCTAACAGTGTCAGCACGTTTAAGAATCAGGGCGATGGGCATACTGGTCAGTCAGGTAGGAGCCCGGCAATCCTGAGGTGCCAAGCACTACCCCCGTACCTTCTGTTTCCTAGAGAATTCATTTGTCCTGGAGGGGTGGCACCAGTTCCTTCCCCAAACACTTGGAATATTCCACTATTTTAATAATTAGTATGGTAGAGCTGGTGCACACCAACTGAAAATCAACCGCTAGAGTTGTCTGCAGTAGAGAGGAATGGGGACGCTGATTTAAAAAAAAAGCACAGTTGGAGCAGTGGGAGAGAAAAAAATACACAGGACTAGTAAATGAATAAAATAAAAATTGCATGCCATCTGTAGAGATATTCAGACTATGTATAATGCTTTTGGGTACAACCATCAGAAATATCAAAATTAGTACATGCAAGGACTTATACCAAGGCCTCTACCAATTTGGTTGCCACAAAGAGAAACTAGTGGGGAACATCTTACTGGCATGAGAAACAATTCGCGAGGGAGGCAGCAGTGCAATGCACATCACATTGTGGAAGCCATCCTTCAATTATTTCTTACTTACTACATATTACATTATCATTAAAAATCTGTTTCCGGCCCTTCCTGGTGGTGCAGCGGGTTAAAGCACTGCACTAAAAAGCTTAAGCCAACTATACATGAGTTCGATCCCGCCTGCCCCAGAGGAGATCCACATGGTGTGGCAGACCTCTCCTGACCCGCCCTCAGCAATGTACTTCGTCAATCTGCCTGTTCTACTCCCCACTCTGTCCCTGGTGAATCTTTTCACCCTCTGCATCTCTGGCCTGTACCCCAGTTCTGTATGCATAAATAAATAAATCTTTGAAAAAAAAAATCTGTTTCCACAAAGAGCGTGCTAGTTTGTAGATCATACAGAATTTTAGCACTACAAAAGTTAAAAATTCAGGCAGTAGAAAACAGAAAGTTACTTCAGAAGTATGTTTTAGGGAAGATAAAATAAGAGTAGACAGAGAGCATGGCAGCTGTGTCTGAGACAGAAGCCTACAGAATGATACCTTCGAAGACCGGATCCTACTATCTATTTACAATTATTTAACAAAGGATCTACTACTGACGTTAGTGAATCTTCCTACAGATCTTTATATTTTCTGAATACCATTAGAGGTAAATACAAAGTATACGTGGTTACATGTGCACAGTAACAGTGCGTAGGGGAGAAAAAAGTTACCCTAACATAGAATGAGGCCTTGTCACCTTTTGTGAAGAAAAATATTCACCATTACATAATGCCACTTTACTTATTCAACTTCCTCAGCTGTCTCAAACAGAGCAGAGAACCAGGAGGAAGTTTAAGAAAAAGTCTATAAACAACAAAAATGAATGTCTACAAAGGTCATGAACTACAACTTATAGACAAACCCAGAGGAAAGCCCCTTTTAGTCCTCCGACAGCCTATTTACTTCTGGGCACTATTTTAAGAACTGTGATGATCTGTTTTTCAATAATGCTTTGAAGCTGCCACCTAAAAGCAGTGTGTATGTGTGTCTGGGGGGAGGGGGAGGGTATAGTTTTGTTACACAAGGCCCACAAGCAGTAAGTGGACGCAGGAGAATGCTGGCATTAAAAAAAAAGGAGCCAGAAAAGCCATAAACTCAAGAGACATATATTCAGGGGACTATTTGTCCCAAAAGTATATGGCCGCATAGGCCACAAAGTGCTTGAGGAAAAGAGTACATAAAAAATATGATGTTCATGAGGATAACCTCGGCTAACAGAGGCCTATGCCACATGTCCACTGAAAATGAGAACACTAAGAAGTGAGTTTCAGGCTTATAGTTAATTTAAAATCATTCAGCAATGAAGTAGGATAGATGAAGACTCCTCCACCAACTGGAGTGAGTGGTGTCTACTTGAGCTCTAGGCAACTGTGATTCCTGCTATGCCTCTGATGTGCCATCCCAGAATGTAGTTATTTCTAGCAGGCATTCTCCTTAAAATCAAATAAACATAGAAAATAGTAATTTTTTCTCCCAGAGTCATACAGAAAGCATGGACCAGAAATCCTTCATAAGTCAGTTTTCTTGTCATTTATCTCCTTCCTTACATTAAACCTGGGGGTGCTAGTTTTTATGTGAGACTTCAGGGTTAAAAATTGGCTTAAGAATGAATGACACAGAGATAATTTAAAATATTGGAGAGTAAAATTATTAACAATAAAGTGGCATAAGTTGTAAAGCAAAGGTATTAACTTAAAAATTAGGAAGTAATAGAGTAAATAACACTGTTCCCTGGAAACTAAGTTTGGCTCTAGAGATCAATTTCCGTTAATAACACCTCTTAAGACACCAAGTTAATATTGAAACTGAGCAGAGCAGGGGATTTGATTGAGTCAACACCACTGAAGACTTTGGAATATTCTAAGAAAGAGAGTCATTGGGGAGGGGGCCTTGAGATCGAAGTGAACTCCTCCAGTCACAATAAATCAATTCGGATATTTCAGATTTAGCACGTAGAAGACCTTTCACAAAATGATGCAATGCTGAACTGGTTAATGACATTGTCTATGTAGCATCCACAGGGCATTGTGTACTTGCAGGCAACAATCTCAATGGAGAAGAGCATGAGGGCAACCCAAAATCAATTGTAACTCAAAATGAAGGCAAAACATAAACATGAGAGGGGATAGAAAATTAGAGGGTCAAAAAAAGTAAGAAGAGAAGTTGTTACAGCAAATATGCTCACATTCCAGAAGAATCCTCTTCAGCACCTACCTGTTATCCTCAAATGTTGGAGCCTTGAAACATAAAAATCAACCTGAGCATGTGCAAGAAAATAGCTCTATATTGCCCCCTAGTGCTGATAAATTCAACTTTGCCTTATACTAAAAAAACTGCAAGGTGAGTAGTTCCTCTACCTCTATTTTCTTCCTGCTGCCAACCCTCCCAAGAGCTAAACATAGCCCAATCCTCTGCCCACAGATTAGGAAACAACCAGGCTATTTTTAACATCATGAATCTTAGGAATGGAAATGGCCCAGCCTCTGATGGCAACAGAACGTGTGTGTGTTGGTTCAATAAACTCACCTCTTCCCAGAGGGTGTGAACCTGTGCTGTAAAGTGACCAATGACCACATGTGAGCGCTGGGGCCGCTGCAAAAGAATGGTGCTATGTGGATCATAAGAAAGAAGGAACAACAAGGAGAGGACAATGAGACACCAGTAGCCAAGGAAATCATGAAGATGACAGATGCCAGGGCAGGCTTGATAAAACAGCTGTAGGAGAAATGATAGGGGATGGGAACAGGGAAACGCAGACAGAAACCAGGAATGTCATGCATGGTCATTTTGGAGATGCTTGTCTACTAAGTAGTATTTTGACCTGGACACTTATTTTACATGAGAAAGAACAAAGGTTGGTCTGATCTGTTTCCTTCCCAGGTACAGCTGGTGCTGTGGCTCCTTTGATCACTTTCCCCCAGCCTCCACAGCTCCTGTGATTAGAGATAGATCCCTAGGCTGCCCTTTGATCAGCAGCTCAAGCAGCTTGCAGGTGCCATGCGCCATCCTATTAGCAAGTGGTAAGAAGCATATACATGAATTTTGACTGATAAATGGGATACCATGCATTGCTGTGTATACAATTCCCCATACACAAATCCCAGGAATCCTCATTTTCTCTACTCTTGTACTTAACTTACTGTAATGTCTTAAAGGTGAAAACTTCACAGAGAGTTTAAGTTCAAGGTTGAAACTCTGAAACATCCCGCTTCATAAAGAATAAGTTATTATGACTTGAAAATAGAACCCACACCATTCTGATTTTCTAGGTAAGTTGCCTGTATTCACTTCGCCTGGCTCATGAAATGACAGATTTCTTGCATTCTGAATCAATGGCGCCCGGAACAGTAAAAACATGTACATTTCTTTTCAAATAACATTAAGATTCACCACTTGTAAACAGAGTATTTAATATTCCGATATTTTAGATGGCCTACATTAACATTGTGGTTTCATGTGCAGTATGAAATTCCTATTTACAAAGTTTTCTCAAAAATGACTTCATAATGGTAGATCAAGAGAAAAGGAGTTTAGAAATTGAATGATGTAAATCATATGGGGTTCAGAGGCTAAGCAAATTACACACCCTGAAGCTGCCCTGGCTTTATGAAAGGAGCCTTTCTCCAGCTTTGTGCAATCCCAGCCCAAGGGAACTTGCATCTGAGAGTTTTCTAAACATTTCAGGTACACTTGAAAGCTGAAAGTAATTCTCATTTCCTATGCAGGATTAAGTCGTTTCCAGCACACACAAAAATAGCAGTCATTCACTAACACATATAAAAACACAGCACCAGAAAGGTAAAGGCTTCAGAATACAAAGGCACATTAAAAAAAAAAAAAGTACAAGAAAAATACTTTTTTTTCATATTCCCTATAAAAAAATTCCACATGGTCTCTTGACATCTGTATTCCTATCTCCGTACTGATTAACTGATGCCTTTCCACCTACAGTGCGTCAATTAACACAGCTGAAACATTTCCTGTAGCAACCCCCTCAATTAAAAAAAAAATCTAAGTAAAGTCGAACATGCCAAGGGCCATTCACTTTTAAATCCGTTTTTGAAGGGAGTTCTTGAGCTTAAAAGGCAGGCAACGAGAAGTCCTACAGTGTGCGTTTGCACTGACGTTCACAATTGCTCCCAGAATGTCCTTTCTCTAGTAAAGGCTGCAGGGCACCCACGGTGCCCTGCGGGAGCTCAGGGCAACGCCAGAAGTTGCAAACTACACGTAACTCCCCAAAGCCCAAGCCAGTGAAAGCAGCGCGCCTCAGCTTGGATAGAGATGGTGGTGGCCCTGCAGGCTGGTGGACCTGAACAGCAACTCACAATGCCAACGTAACACGCACAGCGAGAAACAAGAAGGGGGGAGAAAGGGGTGGGAAGACTCACCGTTCTGTTCCTTGTTGCTGGAGAGCTGGAATTTACTACTCAGGTTGGACTCAGCCTGAGTCCCGTGTCTCTGGCCGGCCAGGGCAGATGTCAGCAGGAGAAGCCCGAACAGGAGCATTTGGCTGACGGGGTCGAGAGCTCACTCACGGCGGGCACTTTGCAAGCAGCGACTCCCGAGTCTCTTTCACCACCGCCAGGGGAAGGCTGCACTGGGGTGGAAGCGTCGAGCCTGCTCTGGCAGCAGAGAATCGCAGGGTAGTTTCCACATAATCCCATCCAAAACTTTTTCCTAGAGCCCTCTTCTGTGTCTCCAGTTTTTGAAAAGGATCAAAGCAAAACCTGGACCTGAACCAGTTTCCCAAGGTTTAAACAAATCCTAAGCTGTGCCGAAGTGGTGGGGGTGGGGGTGAAGGCGAGGGAGGAAAGAGGGGGTGGGGACGCGGGGCAGCCGGGAGAGCCGCGAGAAGTCACCAGCAAGTTGCAGGGAGCACCTGTCAGTTTGGGGGGCAGGACAGAGGCGAGAACTCCAGGGTCGCGCGAAGCCTGCCTCGCTGCCAAGTTGGCGGCCCAGCAGCTTCTGATCAATAACAAAGCTGCCAATAGATGCGACTCTCCGGGCGCCCCTC